CTCTCTCTCTCTCTCTCTCTCTCTCTCTCTCTCTCTCTCTCTCCTACTAGCGCCCAGCGCTGAAGACTACTGCTATCGCTACTACTCCTCCAGAGTGCTGCTGCCGAGTCCTGAAGACTACCTCCTGCCCTCTGCACGTGAAGTGCCTGGGAACTGCCTACAGCCTACAGGGCGGGTCAGCATTATATAGTGCTGGCCCGTCCGAGAGGCTGCTCGTGCCTACGCCAAAACGTGCCAGACCCTGGGGTTGACGCTCCACAAAATAGGCCCTAAAGGCCTGAGCTAAAACCCCGGTCGGGTCCCTGAGTTTCAGGGTAGGTTGATCTTGCGGGGGCCTGAAAATGGCCCGTCGTTTTCAGGCTGGGGCCGAAACGACACAGGGCCTGTAGGCCCTCGTTTCAGGCTTTTAGGCCGAAACGAAACAGGCTCTACTCCTGCGGGCCCTTAGTCTACCAGGTCGGGCTCTGTTGGGCCCGTGTGGTACAGAGTATGCCACATGAAGCCAGATTGCTCTCCAGAGGCAGTAGTGCTTGCGAGTGTTCATTGCCATATTTTCCTGCCGGACGAGCCAGACCGAGTGATGTTCTACCGCTTGGCGATAGAAAGAGTTGATATTTCCCGCTGCATGCACCCTAAAGCCATTGTCCTATAGGGTCCATGAGTTATCCGCAAAGGCAAGAGCACTGACATGACCTGGATGATGTAAGATGTATGCCCGAATATTCGGATCCATGCCTGCATGATTTTGCGGAGTAGACTGGATCTCCTACCCATAAATGCCATAGACAGGACTACTGTCGTCCTTCGGGCAGACGGCACGGTGCTCTTCTTTTATCCAGCGCAAAGGTAAGAGCACTGAAATGACCTGGATGATGTAAGATGTATGCCCGAATATTCGGATCCATGCCTGCGTGATTTTGCGGAGTAGACTGGATCTCCTACCCATAAATGCCATAGACAGGACTACTGTTGTCCCTCGGGCAGACGGCACGGTGCTCTTCTTTTATCCAGCGGACAACATCCGCAAAATCAGAAACAGTATACGGGTTGCAATTGTAGGCAAGGAGTCCTACCCATAAATGCCATAGACAGGACTTCTGTTCATGCCAGGAGCAGTACTGTCGTCCTTTGGGCAGACAGCACAGTGCTCTTCTTCTATCCAGCGGACGACATCCGCAAAATCAGAAACATTATAAGGGTTGCAATTGTAGGCAAGGAGACACACATATATGACATACAACGCACAACCCTTGCTGCAGCACTATGACATCATCCGATTCTGCAGGTTGTGTGGCAGGGGGAGATTAATCCAATCCTCCAGATTGCACAAAAGGCGGAGACTCATTGCAGTCTTGACCATTTCTGTCACTCTCCTCCAGCTGTATTATGTGCTCCGGAGAAAGATCTTCTGGAATCGGGGGCTCCATCAGGTGATCAGAAGGTGGCTCATTATCATTGGCACTTGCGCTCAAAGTGGCTGCTAGTCGTGCAAATGCTGTGCAGGTAGCTGCACCTCGTGTCTGGTGCACACGCCGGCCTACAGCACTGACCAAATCATTGCCACATTGCCGACATCGGACTTGATATGTACTACTCCTGGCTACAGTATATCGAGAGCGACGATGTCGTTCTGTACAGTTGCGAGCATGTCGTCGGATTCATGCTGTTCCAGGACAGACGAGGTTGCTGTCTTGGAGGCGGCACGGACAAGGGGAACATCTCCGCCGAAGAGGCATCTGTAACGATTGATCCGACGCTGGATGTATCTGCCGACGGGACCTTTGTGATGACTGATCTGACTGTTATGTGCCTGAGTGAAACGAGATACTGCATGGCATCCACATGTTCCCATACACATGCGCAACGACAAGAGATCTTGGAGAGAGCAATTCACCCCACACTGGATTAGAGAATACACAGCGGAAGCACTTTTTAAAATCAACAAATAGAATTGAGATGAATCAATTCTAATTAATCCCCCGCTCTCCCCAGCCAATCAGTGCACTGTTTTCTTTGCAAAGAATCCCGACCACGTTCTTAACACCCAGGAACCAACTATCTACACAAGTTTCATCGAAATATCTGGGAGTCTTCGCAACGCCCAAAACAATGTACAGCCCACATGAGAAACTGCAATCCATTGCCACCACGAATGTGCTGATGATGAGATTGATGAAGAAGGGGAGGCACGCGAGGTGGATGATGAGGAGGCGGCGGCGGCGGCGGACGAAGAAGAGGAAAATGAAGAAGAGGCGGCAAATGACTGAGGGGATGACGTAGTAGAAGATGTCGGCGTGGGAGTTGGTGGTGATGGTGGTGGGGGCGGTGGTGGTGGTAGTGGTGGGACTGGCGGGGGGGGGGGGGGGGGGGGGGGGGGGGGGGAGAGGGGACGATGGTGGCGGCACACTTTCGTCGTTGCCACATTGCTAGGATGCAGGCCTTCATCCCCTGCAGCCATTGCGACAAGGTTTGCATTATTTATTGCGGCTGGCATGGTCTCCCGATGAGTCGGTGTACCCACATTAGTGTTACATACACATTTACACATAGCAAAGTGTAGCGCAGATCCAAGGAACCGACCCCAGCAACAGACAATAGAACGCAGCGGAAGACTGGAACATACAATCTAACACAGCAAGACTGGAATGGACAATGCTCAGTGCTCACTCATTCGTTTACCACTCAGTGAGATGGGGGGCAGCGCGTCATACACAGAAGAGGCGCTGTCCCCAGACCATCCACAGACGAAGTAGAAGGGAGATGGAGATGAAGAGGAAGAGTGGGGCGAGAGAGCCAAGTCGCCAATGTCATCAATCCCTAAGTTTCCCGAGGTCCCAATCTCAGCACTTTGTCCAAAGGCGGGTTTCTGCCCGAATACCAGAACAGGGCAATGGCCCGAATGTCACCAAGCTCAGATCCCAGATAACTCTCTCTCTCTCTCTCTCTCTCTCTACACACACACACACACACACACAACATTGCAAATGATAGTCAAATGCAAGGCTAGGACGAAGAGAAGCGAAGTACAAGTTCACATCAACATGGCCCAGAATGGCCACCAAGCACAGATCACATCACAGCACCTACCAATGGCAGCCGAGCACAGGCGGCGTTCAATGCGAGAGAGAGAGAGAGAGAGAGAGAGAGAGAGAGAGAGAGAGAGAGAGAGAGAGAGAGAGAGAGAGAGAGAGAGAGAGAGAGAGAGAGAGAG